AACGAACGAGCACGAAACGAAAGCCTGCGAATCGAAAGAGGACCAAACGAAAGCGGACTGTACGAAAGTCCACCGTCCACGAACCTCTCCTGGGGTGCGTCCTGCCCCCGGGTCTCGGGGCGAGCCCGGCCGTGGCGACGGCCACGTGCAGCGGCTTCTGAAGGGGCCCTGGAACACACACACACACACACGCACACACACACACACACGAATACACACACACACACGAATACACACACACACACGAATACACACAAACAACAGGATTCCCCGTATGTTCGCATATTTCCTGGGCTTGTGGCTCCCCCCCCTTCCCATATGTTCCCCTTCTTTCTGGGGAATCGACGATTCATTGTGCCTGTGTGTTCTTTCCCCTCCTGAGCATCGGCGCCTCGGCGCCCCCTGAGCACCGGGGCCCCCCCTGCGCGGGCGACCGGGCCGCACCGCATTGATGGCGGCGCCCGCGCGGGGGATCGGCGCGAGGGGGGCGGGGGGCGCTCTGGAAGAAGGCGGCCACATGCGAGATTTACCCCTACCCCTCACCATTTCGGAGGGGGAGGGTGGGGTTCACTTCGCTCGGTAGCTCCCGAGCGAAGTGAACCCCACCCTGCCCCTGAGAAACCGTGGGGGGCAGGGGTAGGGCTCGCATGTGGCCCCCTACCTGAAGAAGGCGGTCGTGGGGCTTCTCAGATGTCTTTAATTCGGGCGCGTACCCCTACAGGGGGATGTTCGACGAAAATGAAAAAATGCCCCCAAAATGCGACAACATTGTCCAAAAATACTAAACAATAGTCCCCAGGCTATTTTTTGACCATTGTTGAACATTCCCCCTGCAGAGGGACAGGCCCGACTGAAAGATGTCTGCTCGGAAGGCCCGCGGAGACTCCTGGGAAGGCTCCTCAGAAGCCGGGCGGTCTTCTGGAACACGCCCCCGTTCTCAGAGGGCTCCGCCGCCCTCGCAGACGCCCACCCCCCCCGCGCCAGCCCCCGGCGCACTGGCCCGGCACGTCCTGGGCGCAGGATCGGTGCATACGTCCTCCTGGCTCAAGAAGTGAGGCACGAGCACCGCTCCTGGGCCCAAGATGGGCCGGGCCAGGACCAGTATAGATATGATCTATACAGAGATAGGTAGATAGATAGATAGATAGATATATAGATAAATAGATATATAGATATATAGATAGATAGATAGATAGATATATAGATAGATAGATCGGTGGGTAGATAGATAGATATATAGATATATAGATAGATAGATAGATAGATAGATCGATAGATTGACATATCGATATATATATATATCTATATATATAGATAAGTAGATAGATAGATCTATAGATATGTATATAGATAGATATATAGACATATAGATAGAAATAGATATATATATAGATAGATAGATAGATAGACCGATATATGTATATATATATAGATATATATAATTATATAGATAAATATATATAGATAGATAGATAGATAGATATATAGATAGATAGATAGTTATATATGGGAATACATATATATATAGACAGATCCATATATATATACATACATATAGACATATAGATAGATCGAGATATACATATGTAGTTATCTATAAAGTTATGTACATATACATATATGTATGTATATGATTATATAATGATATATATACGCACATATATATACATAGATATATGTGTATACACATATATATAGACATATATCTATATAGCTATATATAACTATATAGATAGATAGTTCGATCTATATATATCGATATATACATACACATATATAACCATATATATATACAAATATGTATACATATATATATATATATAGTTAGATAGCTAACTAGCGAGCTAGCTAGCTAGTTCGATAGATAGATAGATCGATAGATAGGTAGATAGATAGATAGGTGGACCCCGCCGCACCCCTCTGTGGGCGCCGCCGACTGCGGGCTCCGGCCGCGACCGTGGCGCGGCCGCCGAAGCCCGGCCGCGGGCGCGCGGGCGCCGCCAAGGCCTCGCGCGGCCTCGCGGCGGCTGCCCCCCCAGCGGCCTCGCGGAGGCCCGCGTGCGGAGCCCGCCGATGCCGCCTCGGCGCGCGGCGCGCCGTCGGCCCTGGGGCGCCCCAGGCGGGCGAGCTGGAGAGGTCCGCGGCGCGCCGGCGGCGTGGCCGCGGCAGCGGCTGCGCCCCGCGGCGCGCGCGGCGCGGCGCGGGGCCCGCCTCCTCGCGGCGGGGCCGCCGCGCGGAGGAGTGGAGGCGGGGGCCGCCGCGAGTAGGAGTGGAGGCGGGGCCCGCCTCCTCGCGGCGGGGCCGCCGCGCGGAGGAGTGGAGGCGGGGGCCGCCGCCGGCAGCCGCGGAGCATCGGCTGCCCAGACCTCCAACGTGAGGAGAAAAGCAAGACGGATATGTGTTCGTCGCCGTCGGCCTGCATGGGGCCCTCGCCAGGCCGCGGGCCCGCCGAAACACGATCTGGTGCTGCTGAAGGGGTGCAGAGCCCTGGGGACCCCGCATTGAAAACATCAGGACCTGCGCCAGTGGTCGGTGGCCTTATCGTCAAGAGATGGCCTCTGGTGCGCAAGCCCGCGGATCGCTGCGCGCGGCAGGGGCAGCAACGGCCCGCGTGCCTGGTGCGATGCGGGGGTTTCAATGTCAAACGCAGCCGCCCAGGAGATCGATCTCTGGGGACCTCAGGGGGGGGGGCGTTGGGCATGTGTGCCCCCCTCCCCCCCCCCAGGGCACGAATGTGTCCAGATCCAGCGCCGCCAAGTTTCTCGAGGATCGGTCCCCCGTAGCGGTGGCTACAGTCATGGCACTGCCAGAAGAAGCGCTACAGAAGAAACGAAGGCGCTTCCCTGGCCACAGCGAGCCTCGACCGCGACTAGGTTCCCCGACCTAGGCCCAAGGAGCGGCCTGACAATCCGAGCCCCTCCTGAACACAAAGTGGTCCTTGGCAGAGCGCCCTCACTGGCTATACATCCCTGCCTCGGTCTGGGGCTGCCCCTGCCGTGCGTGCAGCCGAGGGGAGCCGCCTGGAGGGTTTCTCCGAAAGGCTTAGGCGACCCCTCCTCCTCCTCCTCCTCATCCTCCTCCTCCTCCTCCTCCTCATCCTCCTCCTCCTCCTCCTGCTCCTCCTCCTCCTCCTCCTGCTCCTCCTCCCCCTCCTCCTCCTCCTCCTCCTCCTCCTCCTGCTCCTCGGGTCGCCTACGGCCCCGGGGGAAACCGTGCAGAGCCGCCAGCGGAGGGGCGCTCGCGAAGGGGGGGCTCGAGCTCTCGGCGCGCCCTCCCCTCGACCTCCAGGGGCTCCAGCGCCGGGGCCCGCGGAGCCTCCTCGATCCCTCGCTCTCCCCCAGCTCCCTCCCCCGATCCCTCCCCTTGGGCGATGCTCAACCCCAGACCCCCTCGAGTCATGAAAAAAACACGACGGGAGGTTTTTCCATATTTGCAGCTTTGGGGGGCCCCTACCGGGCCTCGGGACCGTCAAAAAACGATTCAGGATGAAAAACCGGTCCTGGGGAATGGGTCCAAACCTCTGGGGGTCGACGTTATGAAAGAATCATGACGTCGGGGGTCTGGGACTGGGGGGCGGTCATTGGAGGGGCGAAGGAACGCGCACCCTCGGTGCTCCTCTCAGGCCCCCGAGGGCCCCTTTGTAGGGCCCCGTATGGTGCACGAAGGGGAGGTGAACTTTTCTGCGCCTCCCCCACCCTTTCTCGCCCCCCCAGTTACGCAACGCCCGGTCCACCCCCCCTCCACCAGATTCCGGCGAGGCGGCGGAAGTCGCGACGGCTGGTCATTCGATGGCTTCGGCCTCTGGAGGCTGTTTTCTGGCTACGGGACCGTCAAGCGACAACTCCTCAAGATGAAAAGCTGGCCCTCGGGAGTGGGTCGATATCTCCGCGGGCCCGTGTCGCGAACAACTTGCGACGTTGGAGGAGAGGGCTCAAAAGAGCCCGCGATCGGGACCTCGGGGGACCTCCGCAGGACCTCCTCCCACGGCTGCCCGGAAACGGCCCCGAGTCTCAGATCGGCTGGCTTGCCCGCCTGGCCAGGCTGACTGCGTACTCGAAGACCGTCCGCGGAGGGGAGCAACCGCAGGGGGTGCGCAAGCGAATCGGCCGATGCCACCAACAGCACGTCGGCGCGCAAGTCAATCGGCTTGGCCGAACCGCGGACCACGGCCGTGGAAGGTCTTCGTCAGAAAGGTTAACAGCTACTAGGCCCGTTAAAGGGGTCACTACGTCAGGTGGGCCCAGGTTCAGCTAAGGATCAAGCCATACGAAGTTGGACTCAGCGGGATTCTGCCACATGTGGCCGAGTTTCGACCACGGATATACCAGCGCCGATGCTGACTCTACCCTCCCAGGAGATTTATTCTAAGATTCATACCGATGTTTGGCACTTTGGCACAGAGACGGTGTCCAACGATCATGCGAAGCTGCCTGGCAAGAGACATGCGATGACGGCGGCGACGGTATAGGATCACCCAGTGCCAGCTGCAATGCGCCAGCTGAGGACGTCGAGGTACAACAGTAACGTCCTGTAGATACTTCGTGGGTACGGAGTCCGAGGCCCCACGGCCGATGCATGGCCTATCGTGGGATGGTCGTAACTTGAACGTCTAACTCGCTTGGAACCAGGAATGCTCCATAGATCTCGCCCTTCGTGAGGACAGCGATGGTGCTATTTTCTGCATAGCCAGGGCACGACGTCGAATTGCTTGATTGCACGACCTACCTACGTACGCGAAACATACCAAAAAATTGAAAGCGGTGCTTCGCAAGAAAGCGATTGAAACCGGCGCCTCGCGAGAACACATCCTCCTCCTCCTCCTCCTCCTCCTCCTCCTCCTCCTCCTCCTCCTCCTCCTGCTCCTCCTTCGCCTTCTCTTTGAGCGCGCGAGCACTGAGCAGGATGTGGAAGCGTGGCCCTGCAGGCGGGGCGGGTGAGGCTCACAGGGGAGCCGGGCTCGACCTGCGGCTGGCCGCCCTCGGCAGGACTCCGGCGCCCGCTCAGCACAGCCGGCGCGTGCACCGCGGCATGCAGTCGAAGGGCGCCGACTCCAGGCCTGTCGCCCCCGTCCCCCGGATCGGGGCGCCGGGGAGCACTGACGTACACAACCCCATGAGGTCCGCCGTCGCGAACAGGCTGCTGCAACAGCGGGAAAAGCAAAAACTCGGCCGGGGCCCCGCATCCCGCCTTCCCTGCGGCATCCGTCGAGCCAGACCGACCCGCGGGGCCCGAGACAGGGCACCATCGCCCCCTGTGGAACAACTCCGACGCCAGGATCTCGGGGAAAGCACATACACACACGCACGCACACACACGCACAGACAGGCACGCACACATGGACCACGATAAATCGACAAGCCTTAAACGTCCGAGCTGGGGCTGCTACCGCGTCGGTGCGGCGCGCACCTGCTGCGACTCCCCAGAGGTCGGGTCTCCTTCACAGGGGCAAACTTTTTATCCTGAGTCGTTTTCTGACGGTCCTCGGGCCCAGGGCCCGGCGAGGGCCCTGGGAGGCCATTGCCATCCCCTCGGTCGTGATTCATCTCACAACAAGATGATGTCAGCGCCTACAGCCGAGTGTGACTGGAGAGGACACGCGCGGGGACATAAAATTCTTCCGAGGGCAACATGGTATTTACACCTGGGTGCCTCTGCCCCAAGAATGCAGCAGACATGCGACGCTTGGCCACGACCTCCTCCACTCCTCCTCCCCGTCCCCCTCCTCCTCCTCCTCCTCCTCCTCCTCCTCCTCCTCCTCCTTCTCCTCCTCCTCCACCCTTGATTTGGAAGGGTCGACCTGCACTTCACACTCGACTGTGTGGGCCGTGGGCCTCCCGCGTGGGCGCCTGAGACTGCCGCGGCGTCCCCTGCGGGGAGGAGCAGCGCGGGGACACCCTTCAGGTAGGCCTCGGTGAGCGCCGCGAGGCGGTCGGAGATGCCACCTCCAGCCTGGGGTCGGCTGCACGTAAGAGGTGACCCTGGGCAAGAGTGGCCTCTGGTGCGCGGCTTCATGGGGGGCGCGAGGAGGCCAAACACCAGCGCGCAAGACGCTACCATCGCACCGAGCACGGCGATCGGGGGACCCCAGCGAGCGCGCACCAAGGGTCACTCCGGCGAAGGGTCACTCTTACGTGTAGTCGATTGGGGGGGGGACCGCGGAGGCTCCATGGGCGGCCCGCGCACGGAGGACGGTGAGGACCTCGAAGACCGAGGCGATTTCCCGGTAGGCTTTTCGGGCTGCGCAAAGGCAGCCCCCCCCCCCCAGGTGGTCCTGGCTGGCCGCAGCAAGCCCTCCGAGTAGTCTTAAATCGGGCCTGTCCCCCTCCAGGGGGACTTTCGAAGAAAAATAAAAAATACCCCCAACATGTTCCCCCCCCCCAAAAAAAAGTCCCCTGACTATATTTTTTGAGCGTTTTGGAACTATGCTTGGGGTATTTCTTATTGTTCGTCCAAAAACCCTCTGTAGGGGGACAAGCCCGACTCAAGAGCAGCTCAGGGGCGGTCCCCGACACCCCGGCGCCGCCTCTGGCACTTCTTCCGGGGCGCCACGCGCCCCAGGGGGTGGGGCGCCGGGAAGCCTGGCCATCGAGGGCCGAGGCGCTCCTGGGGCTGCTTTCTGACATCTTCGGTGCCTCGAAGGGCGCCCCTCGTCGCCACGGCTGCGGTGGCTTCCCCGGGCCAGGTCGGCCCCGACGCGCAGACCAGGAGTGGTCGGGAGAGAGAGGGGGGGTGGCGGGCAACCCATGCACCCATGCATGGTCGTCGCACCTGGCTGCGTGCGGGCGCAAAAAGGGGTTGCGCACGGGAGAGCCTCCTAAGAAGCCGGGGTGCTTTCAACATTGCCAGATGCTTCGAATACGCCCCCCCCCCAGCCTGTCGCCAGCTGCCTCACCTTCCTCCCCCTCCTCCTCCTCCTCCTCCTCCTCCTCCTCCTCCTCCTCCTCCTCCTCCTCACCACCACCACCCCCTCCTCCTCACCCTCCTCTGCACCATGACGCGGCCCCATCTGCCGCCACGGCGCTGCCCAAAATGCCAGCGTGGGGGCCAGGCGTCCCGGTAAACCAGGGCGCCTTTGTCGCCCAGACACGACATCTCGACATCGGGGGATACCGGGGGATATCGTGTCATGGGGCACGATCTCTCGATATCTCGATATCTCGATCTCGGGAGACATCGTCTCAGGGGACACGATATCTCCCGATATCTCGACATCTCGATATCGGGGGGTACCGAGCCAGGGGACACGATATCTCGATATCTCGATGTCGGGAGATATCGAGCCAAGGGACTCGATATCACGATAGCTCGATATCGGGGGGGGGGGTCGGGGCGGGGCTCGATGCACGGCGCCTCGCCCCCCCCAGCCCCCCCTCCCCCCCCTGCCCCGATATCGAGATATCCAAGCATCGAGATGTTTGATATCGAGTCCCCGCCATGTCTGTTTGGATTTCAGCGGCGATTTTGTTCTGGCAATAAGCACGCTTACGGCGGGGAAAATAATGCTGCCCTCTTTATCATCCCTTCCCCCTCCCCCTCTTCCTCCCCCAACTCCAACTCCTACTCCTCCTCCTCCTCCTCCTCCTCCTCCTCCTCCTCCTCCGGAACCTCCCCTCCTCCTTGCTTCCCTTTTCCCCCGATATCGAGGTATCGAGATGTTGAAATATCGAGTTTGCGTGGACTTCCGTTTTTTTTGTTCGGCCGTAAGCATGCTTACGGCCGGGAAAATAAGGCTGTCCTCTTGTTTATCTCTTGGTTATCCCCTCCCCCTCCCCTTCCTCCTCCCCCCCAACTCCAACCCCTCCTCCTCCAGAGCCTCCTCTGGATCCCCCCACCTCCTTGCCTCCCAGTGGCCCCGCCTACATGGAAGTCTGCTTGGAGGAGGAGGAGGAAAAGGAATGAGGGGCAAGAAGAGGAGGAGGAGGAGGAGGAGGAGGAGGAACATGAGGAGGAGGACGAGGACGAGGGCGAGAGCGAGGACGAGGACAAGGGCGACGAGGACGAGGAGGAGGAGAACGAGGACGAGGACGACGGAGAGGAGGCCCATGGCAAGCATGGCCCACGTCGGGGCTCGGCGGATCGCTGCGGGTTCCTCAACGGCTTCATCAAGGACTGGGGGGCTCTGGGCCAGGGGGCGGGGCGACGGCAAGGAGGATCAGGAGGAGAAGGAGGAGGGAGAGGAGCAACAGGAGTAGGAGGAGAGGCATGCACATGCGTAACTGTACCCATTTATCTACCGAGCTTGCTGACGAACAATGCAAATACCGAACCCGTTATACATGCACCATGTGATTGTAGACCACACCCGCCACTCTGCCTGGGTCAAGGGCAGGAGGCCTATTTGGGAGACTTCTTAGGCGTATGTTTGGAGACCATTCGTGGTCCTCCGAGAAGCATTTTTGGTCCTGTTGGTGGGGGGATCTTGGGGGCCTTCAGCCGTCTTGGAGCGTCGAACACATGCGGCATTGCCACGCATCTCTTTGCGTCGCGCATGCGTTAGAGCATGCATGCGCGCACATAGTCATTGAACTACGTACAAGTGTGAGTGCACGTATCCTTTGGTGCACGAGTACAGCATACACATCGATATCTACAAACTGTCTGTGAACGGAGACAGTCGTATATACGCACATGTGGTTCGGTTACAAACGAGTGCCCTAGTTCATATCATCATTCCACTGTTCACTGGCTCAAGTCGACGTCGGCGCTTGTCCCGACTAGGTGTGTCCAAAACTCGAGAAGCTCGGTTCTAGCCTGCCCCCCTGGCCATCAAGTTGCGAAGGGGTACGAACATACGACGCTACTAGATGGCTGCGCACAGGAGGCTCCGCAGCTCGGACGAGGTATCTGAGAGCTGCACTATCACGGGCGCGCCCTTCCACTGCATCATTAAAGTCCGCAAGCTCCTGAGCCCCTTCGCCAACGACCGCCAAGATTTCCTGAACGACTACTCCGATTTGATCTACCGCTTCTCCACGGAGCCCGGAGGAGGCTCCGGAGGAGTTGGAATGGGGGGAGGAGGAGGGGAAGGGGGAGGGGATGATCAAGAGGACAGCGTTAGTTTTTTTCCGACCGCAAGCATGCTTACGGCCAGAAAAAAAAAGCCGCTGAAGTCCACACAAACATTACGGGGACTCGATATCTCAACATCTTGATACCTCGATATCTCGATATCGGGGGACAAGGGAAGCAAGGAGGAGGGGGGGGTCCGGAGGAGGAGGAGGAGGAGGAGGAGGAGGAGTTGGAGTTGGGGGAGGAAGAGGGGGAGGGAGAGGGGATGATAAAGAAGGCATCGTTATGTTTTCCGGCCGTAAGCATGCTTACGGCCAGAAACAATTGGCGCTGAAGTCCACGCAAACATGACGGGGACTTGATATCTCACAATCTCGATGCCTGGATATCTCGATATCGGGGCATGGGGGTGCGAGGCGCCTTGCATCGAGCCCCGCCCCGACCCCCCCCCCCGATATCGAGCTATCGTGATATCGAGTCCCCTGGCTCGATATCTCCCGATATCGAGATATCGAGATATCGAGATATCGTGTCCCCTGGCTCGGTACCCCCCGAGATCGAGATGTCGAGGTATAGGTATATTGTGTCCCCTGACACGATATCCCCCGATATCGAGATGTCGAGACATCGTGTCCCATGACACGATTTCCCCCGATATCGTGATATCGAGATATGGTGATATCGTGTCCTCCCGACCTCCACCGGGACGCCTTGCGACCACAATGCAAGATGCCTCGACGGACAGCACTGGCCGAGGTGCTCCGCTCCTCCCACTCATCCGACAACTTCCTTGTTATTCGCAGCGTGGTTCCCCGGACGTCTGGCCCCCCTCCTGGGGACCGGCTTTTCGTCCTGAGGCGTTGCTTCAAAAGTCCAGAGCCCCGAGAAGCTTCCCTGGGAGGCCGAAAACTGCCAAAACCCTCTCGTCGTGATTCTTGTGATCACGCAAGGATGCCTGGATCCCCCGAGATGCCGCAACGGCGCTGCCACAGCCTGGACGCTCGATGGCACCGCCGCCACGGAGGCCAAGGAGGCGGAGCCGAGGCCGTCGGCGAAGCCAGCTGGGGCGGTCGGCGCGGCGAAGTTCGGCACGATGCGGCCGAGCACCGTCCCCCGCGATGGCGTCGCCTGGGCAGATCGCGCCAGCAGAAGGGAACCCAGACCCCCTGGGGTCATGAGAAATCATGGCGGGAGGTTTGGCGCTATTCTCGGCCTCTGGGGGCCCTTACTAGGCATTGGGGCCGTCGAACCTAGACGCATGATGGAGAATCGGTCCTGGGAAAGTGGTCGAGCACTCTGGGGGTCAGAGTTATCATAACGCCGTTATGAGCAAATCATGATGTCGGGGGTCTGGGGAAGGGAATGATGCAGTCGGCGAGGCTGCGCTACAGATGCAGCAAGACACGCCGAAACGAGCTGGGCACATTAACTCGCTGTGCTACAACAGCGCCGCGCGCTCAACATTACTGTCTCCGAGCGATGCCGGTGCAATGCGGCGATTCTACCCCTCTCTCCTCCTCCTCCTGTTCCTCATCCTCTTCCTCTGCGTCCTCGTGTGCATCATCACCCTCATCCTGGCGCTTCCTCATCTCTACAGTCAAGCAATATGAATACTACTCTCCTCTTACCCCTGGGGGCGTCCAGGAAATGTCCGGCCCCCCTCCGCATATTGTTTTTTATAGACAGGACTCCCGGGAGTTGATTTGTCGCTTGGAGTTTGTTTCAAAGTGCTGCTCTCGCTGAAGCGCTGGCCTCATTTCCGGGCTACCGCTCGTTCCGAATCGTGCTCCCGCTGCAGCGGTGGCGTCATTATTTCCAGTGCCATGCCACGGCATGGTTTTCGGTTCTTCCAAATCGGCCCCAAAACACATCAAAAATGGCCTTCCGAAAAAACCATCGGAAGTGATTCCACATTCGGTGTCGTTTCGTTGACTTTTTCACCCGCAGAAGCCACCCCACACTTTGTGGCGTCGCCGCGCCATGCTATGTCATGATACGGGTTAGTATTCAACAACATGCTATGCGCCATGCTACGACATTCTACACCGTGGTAAGGGATGGGAGGGAGGGTAGGACGTCAGATCTGACGCGAGCGCACCTAGCTTGCCTCATCCCCCTCCTCTCTCTCCTTCTCCCGTCCGTGTCTCCATCCTCATCCAACAATCTCTCTCCCTCGATCCTCTCTCCTCGCTATCGTTGTTACCCCTCTTTTCTTCCCCCTCCTCCTCGGGGTCTCCCTCCTTCTTTTCCACCTCACGACTTCGACCAGAGCTACAGTCATGAGCCATCGTGCGTTGCCACAGGGGACGCTTGAATCCGCTGACCCTGTCAGCGTGTGAGGGGCTTTTCCGTTCGAGTCGAGCTTTTCCGTTGAAGTCGTCGTCTCCGTCCTCCTCTGTTCCGTTTGCCTGAGCCCTCTTCCTCATACGCGCCGTCCAAAGCAAATTGAACAACATCAGAATGTAATCGAAGGGAAGCACCTTCCCTTTGATCTCTTTCCCGGGCCGGTCCCAGGGGGGTTCCGGGGGGTTCCTGGGGGGGTACCCCCCCCAGCACCCGCAGCCGCTGCGCCGATACGATTTCCCCCCACGCCCCGGCCCCCGCTCCGGCCCCGGCCGGCCCCAGCCTCGGCCTCGGCCCCAGCCCCGGCCCTGGCCCTGGCCCCAGCCGCGGCCCCAGCCCAAGCCCCAACAGAGACCGAGAGGCTCCCAAGAGAGCCCCAGCAGAGGCTCCAGAGCGTCAGCGCCGTCGTCCGTCGCCGCCGCCGCCGCCGCGCCGCCGCCGTCCCCCCTTCGGGGTCGGCGGCACCAGGCCTCGGCCGCGAAGCAATGCCCCGAGCGGCACCCGAGACACGGCCCGAGAACCGGAGCCCCACATCCGCGCAGCGTGGTCCTCTTATCCTCCTCCTCCTCCTCCTCCTCCTCCTCCTCCTCCTCCTCCTCCTCCTCCTCCTCCTCCTCCTCCCCCTCCTCCTCTTCCTCCTCCTCCCCCTCCTCCCTTCCTCCTCCTCCTCCTCCTCCTCCTCCTCCTCCTCCTCCTCCTCCTCCTCCTCCTCCTTCTCCTCCTCCTCCTCCTCCTCGTCCTCCTCCTCCTCCTCCTCCTCCTCCTCCTCCTCCTCCTCCTCTCGTGTGCCAGCGTCAGGCCTGCCTGTTTCCAAAGGTCGAGGTGCGCCCCCCCCCCCCCCCCCCTCCAGAGGGAGGCTCCATGCTGGGGGCCCTTTCCTCTCGCGCGGCGGCCCGCGCGCGCGCGAGGTAGCGCGCCACCCACCAAGCCCGTGCTTCGGTGCAGATCATATGTGCGCCTCGTCTTCGTCTTCGTCTTCGTCCGTCGTCGTGAAGCGTGCTGCTCTGCTCGGGGCTCGTTTCCTTACACTGACCCCCGACGTCGTGTTTTCTCACGACGTGGCTCCCTGGAGGTCAGGACCCATTCCCTTGGGCGTCGCTGGTCGGGGGGGCGAGTGAGAAAGGTCACCTTCTGAGGCCCCAAAGGCCCCCTCAGGGGCCCGAACGATCGCTCCCCCATTACTCTGGGTACCTCAATAGTCCTAGGCCCCCAGACTACAGGGGCTCCCCGGACTACAAGGGCCCCCCACCAGAATACAAGGGCCCCCCCCCAGACTACAGAGACCACCCAGGACCCCCCCCGGACTACAAGGGCCCCCCCCACCGACTACGGGGACCCCCCCCCACTCAACAGTATCATCATCCTTCGTGTTCCCTTCCCCCTTCCCCCTGCCTCTTCCAATGCTCATCGTCGGGGGTCGGCGCGGCCAGGCGCGCAACCCCCGCCAATCAGGTGCCCCCCCCTGATGTGCCCAACGAAGTGGTGTCCCACGCATATGGTATTCTTTCGTGGCCCTCCAAAGAACTACTCCTCTGTATTGCTACGCGCGCAACTGCGGCCACTCTGCCTGGCCCTTATTTGCATGGGGCGCATGTCCCCGGTCGTCGAGCGGGACGTCGCCCCACGAAGATCCCGGACTACAGGGGCACCCAACCCGGACTACAAGGGCCCCCCCCCCCCGGACTACGGAGCCCCCCCCCGGACTACAGGGCCCCCGCCCCGGCCATTGGTCACCCCAGAACTAGATTGAGGTACTCAGAGCACGCGCCCCCCAAATCCCCAGGACCGGCGATTCGTCTGGGGGAGTTTTCGACGGTCAATGGGGGCCGATGAGAAGCCCCCTGAACACTGCCAAACAGACCACTCGTCGTGACTGCTTGTCGCGGCGCGAAGGGGTCGGGGCACGTAGTGGCCACCACCACCCACCCCTCTTCCTTCAGAGGAAGGCCAAAACACCATCAACATACAGTCGGCCCTGATTAGGAAGTCGGCCCTGCCAAATCGAGGGCACCCCGGCGTCCTGTGGCTCGTGACCCGCGCCTTCTACCTTCCTGCGGCAAGGTGGCCCTCGGGAGGGTCTCGTGTTCTCTCGCGTGTCCTGCCCAGTCAAGTCCGGCGCTGTGCACTTTCGACTGCCCACGCGGATTTCTTGGATCGGCGCTGGACACCCCCCTCGATGGCGCGGGGAGCGCACCAGTGGCGGCGCCCGAGGCGCCGCCAGGGAGGCCCAGCGCCGATCGGAGATATCCGCGTGGCACTCCGAGGGCTGATGTGCTTGTTGCAGCTTCTCCTTCCTCTATCCTCCGCCTCTCCCCCCCGACCCTTCCTCCCCTCCCCCGCCCTCCCCCTCCCCCTCCCCCTTCCTCCCCCTCTCCGCCTTTCCTCCCCCTCCCCCTCCCCCGCCCTCCCCCGCTCTATCCTCCGCCCCTCCTCCCCCTCCCCCTTCCTCCCCTTCCCCCTCCCCTTCCTCCCCCTCCCGGATCCATCGGCGACGCACCGCCGATGGATAGGCGCGATAGGCCGCCCGAGAGCGAACCTGTCCTGGACAGGGCGGAGACTGTCGGGCCCCAGTAGTGTCGGCGATGAATCTGGGCCACGGGGGGTCGAGGCATACCCTCCAAAGGCCTATCTCCCCGCAGCGCTGCCCCTGGCCCCCCCCCCGACTCCAGATCCCTTCTTAATCGACCCCCCCCCCTAAAAAACCGGGCACCCCTCCAACGGCGACCTGATATCCCGGACCCCCCCCTCTTCCACGGAGCGCCTCGATACGAACGGGACCTCCCATACAGAGGCTCCCATCCGAAGGCAGCACCCATGCAGGAACCGGACCCCCCAGTCACAGAAACGGCGCCTCGACAGACCGGACCCGGGGGACGAGCCCTAAGGGATTCGGAGTACCCCCCATAGGGGCGGCGCCAGCGCCGAGGCGGGGGCCGCGGTCGACGGCGTCGAAGGGCTGCTGTCCGCCTCGCGCCAGGGGGGGGGGGGGCGGGCGGCGCGGGCTCTCGGGGTGCGCAGCGCTGCGGCGCCAAGGGGGGGGGCGGCACCGCGTGCGGGGGCGGCGGCGCGCCGAAGGGGCCAGGAGAGAGCAGCCCCGCACGCAGCTCGACGGGGCGGGGACGGAGGGTAGGGGGCCACACGCGAACCCTACCTCCACCCTCCCCCTCAGAAATCGTGGGGGGTAGGGGTAGGGTTCGCATGTGGCCCCCTAGAGGGGCAAGGGGGCAGAGAGGCAGAGAGCGCCACGGGTACGGGTACGGGCTGTCGGAACCTGAGAAAGGGGCTCTTGTGCGAGCGGGGGCCCCATCCGACAACACACACACACACACGCATGGACGCCATGTGGCATTCCCACCAGAGAGATCGAGGCGACGCACGAGTGCGGGTGCTGGTTGTCAACGCATGAGAGGGAGGGAGCTTCGGGTTCGAGGTTCAAGGCGCTCTGGCCTTTTGTCGACTGCTCTCGGCGGTGTTCCGCCCTCGGAGTGCGCCTCGGCACCTGCACCTCGCCGAGGGCGCGCTCCGGGGGTGCCTGGATCGGCCACTGGAGAGCCGAGCTACAGTCGGGGCGTTGACCTGAGGAACCCTAAATAAGGAACGAGGCCCCTTTCTCCCATAAGTTGAGCTTCGATTTCCCACGGAAAACCTTAGGAAAAAAGCCAAGGCAAACTGCAACGCAATCAAGGAACACCGAGCCCCTCCCCAACGGAAAGGGTTCCTTTTTCAGCGCCCCGACTGTATGACCCGAAGGCCACCAGGCGTCCCAAGGGGGGAGCAGGCCTTCTCCAATTCGGAGTCCCGAAACGGTGCGGTGACAGACCGTGCGGCGACCTCGAAATGCCGCAAGACCTCACCGCACGGTCCGTCACCGCACGGTTTTTGGGACCCTGGAGGCCCCTATCGCACGAGACATCCTCGGAGAGGGACTCGAGTCCCAAAACCGTGCAGTGACCCCGAATCCCCACCGACTCACCGCACGGTGTGGTCACCACACCATTTGGGGGCCCCCGATCCAAAGCGGCGGGGCTTGTCAGAAGCCCGTTGGCCTCTGCAGAAGCCCCCCCCCCGTGTCTTCGGAGGAGGCTCGGGAAGCTTTTTGTTTCAAGTGGCCGCAGGCCTTCTAAGCCTCTTCCGAGAGGGTCCGCCCCGTCTGCCTTCCCCCCTGTGGGCGCGGCCGCCGACAGTCAGGAACCTTTGTTTCCGCACTCGCGTCGATACTTGCTTCATGTTGTTCCCATCCTACTTAAAGACCACATCCCAGAAATAAGTTCGAGCACCCGGAAAAGTGCCAAAAGAGTGTCGAAAAAATGTCGGGCGAGCGTCTCCCAGGGCCCGACACGTGAAAACCCTTGAGTTTCGGTACTTTTTTGGCGCTCGAAACTCTTTCTGATGATCGAGGCTAAAGTAGGTTGGAGCAACATAATACTTGCTTCAGAATACTCGATGCACGCTCCAGCACTTGCGTCGATACGGTCAGGAACCGTTGCTGCAGTGCGTCGCCGCAGCGGCCCTGGCGACGCGCTGCCCTGCGAGCGGATTGTGTGTGCCGCTCCCAGGTGGCGCCGTCCGAGCCCCACCCCCGCCAGCCATCGATCCTCTGGCATCGATGGCAGGCAGGCGGGGGCATAGGGCTCGGACTTCGCCACGTGCTCGACGACTTCCGAACCCTGCCCCCGCTGCCGCTCGAGGTGCCCGAATCGAGGATCGGGGCGGGTGGGGCTCGGACCTCGCTGCCGAGCTCCGCTCCGCGGGGGGCGGCAGCCCCGGAGCAGCCCGGGGGCGCCGACGCGCGGGGATGCCCGAAAACGCGGCGCGCGCGCGCCGCGCCGTGGCGCCGTGGAGCAGCACGGGCAGAACGACGCGCGGAGCAGACGCTCCTGACCGCACGCCCCCTGCAGATCCGGCGTCAAGAACAAGCGGCACCGTCATTAAGGCGCCCACAAAGGACGTACGCGCCCAGCTATGTACATGAGCACGGCCCCTCGATCCGCGAGACCGGCCGCGCGATACAACATTTGCGCAACGCGTGCTCTCGAAACCAGCGTGGATTCATGTACATGTACGTCCTTTTTTCGCTCCTGAGTCATGCCCAGACCCCCGCGAGCCATGGCAACATCACCACGGACAACATGTCACAATCTCCGGCCTCTGGGGCCCTCGCTGGGCCTCGGGACCGTCAGGAGACGACTCGGGATGGAAACCAGTCCCGGGCACTGGGTCGAGACCTCCCGGGGTCGACGTCATGAAGAACACATGACGGCGGGGTCCGAGCAGAAAACTCGACCAGAGCCCTGGGCACACCCTGTCTGCCGCATTTCCCGAGCCGGATCGATCCGCGAGGGCCCCCGGGCCCGCAACAGGGCAACCTCGCCCGCCGTGGTGAGAAATGCGACGCCGGGATCTCAGGAGAGGGTCGAGCCTCGGCCACGAGCAAGTCCCGACCTAGATTCTCGACCCAAGGAACGGCCCGGCAAGCACGGCCTCTCCTGAGCCCGGAGTGGTCCGTGTCTCGACCGTACGAAGGGCAGCGTGCCTGCTTAGAAGGCAGACCACCCTCGCGCTGCCAGGAAGCTGAGCATGTTTTCTTCTGAGCGTGGGCGTGGGACACGAGGCGTCGAGCAGCAGCAGCAGCCCAGGCGCAGCAGAGCCAACTGCGAAACCAGGACGAGAGAAGACGTATGAGAGCTGCCGCGGTGGTGGGCCAAGAAACTGGAAACACACAATTCACATGCGAAACATCCGGAGGGCACGCGCTGGATGCACATGTGGAAGCCCAGCGTACCAAGCCATAGAGGGACTGGGCCATGGACAAATACGGGGCCATGCGTGTCCAGCTCACGCACAGGCTGGCCGCGTCATGTGTGCAGCTTCTTGGTGCTCACCTTGCGCCGGCCGGCGACGCCTGGCAGGGGGTACAGGGGTTTTCGGAAGGGGCCCAATCGGCACAACGGCGGCCCTCCCTGCTCCCTGGCGCTCTTCGTCTCTTTGGAGTTTCCTGGCGGCTTCTCGTCCCCACGGCCACGCCTGGCAGGGGGTGCAGGAGATGTTCGGAAGGGGGCCAATCGGCACAACGGCGGCCCTCCCTGGCGTTCTTCGTCTCTTTGGAGTTTCCTGGCAGCTTCTCGTCCCCACGGCCACGGCCGGATCCGCCTCGAACACCGGCTAAGGGTGAACCCTGGGAGGTGTCCGGGGGCGGATTTGACCGGGTTTAGGCCGGGCGGGAGAGCCGCCCTTGTCTCAGCTGGCCATCCTCCGAAATGTGAGATGTGGGGATTCGAGGTTCGATGGTTGGCTCTGTCCACGGGGGCGCATCCCGAGCGGAGTAGGAGTAGGAGTAAGAACCAGTGGCGACACCCGTCAATGGGTGAGCCAACCTCGGCCTCGCTGGGCCTTCTCGGCCCTGATGAGGACTTTCGGGGCAACCCCGTCTTGGATACGAGATGGGTGCCCTTGGCCTGTGGGGGGGTGAGGGTCTGGGAGCAGGGCTTGTCCAAAGAACGCAGCTGCCTGCCAGCCGCAGCCCCGCACCTCCCACAGAACCGACAACTCGGCGAACAGCAGAGCAATGATGCAGCCGGCACCCCCGACATGGACACGCCCTCCGCTGGGAGTGAATCTATCTATATAGATATAAAGATGTATGTATGTACACATGAGTGTACACATATACATATATATATATAAACATATATATATATATATTAATATATATATATATGTATATAGATGTATGTTTGTTTGTATTGATGTATACATATATATATATATATATATACATACGTATGTGTATCTATATACACACATATATAACCATCTACATAGCTGAGTCTTGGGCCTTCCAAGGGGGACGCGGGCAAGATAGAAGCGGGGGGGGGGGCTGCGGGAGGCCGGGGGCGGCGGCCCTGCCGGCCTCGTGCCATCACGAGGCACGCCGAGCCGACAGGAGCGAACCGGGGCTCGTCCGCCCACGGCACGCCTCTGCCACGGATGCGGCCCCCGACCTGGATCGGAGGCACGGCCCGACGGCCACAGCCTTGCTGGGCCTGTTCTCCACCACCACCACCACAAGTTGGACGGGGTCCTCCTCCTCCTCCTCCTCCTCCTCCTCCTCCTCCTCCCCCTCCTCCTCCCCCTCCTCCTCTTCGTCCTCCTCCTCGTCCTTCACCTCCTTCCCCCCTCTTACTTATGGTGGTGATGGTGGAAAACAGGACCATCAAGCCTCGCCTGAGCCTCGAGAGGTCCCTGCTTTCCGCGCTCCCAGGTCCCCGAGATCGGGATTTTCCATGGCGCCGACCCCCAAGGGTCTCTCGACCCATTCCCCGGGACAGGTCTTCATCTAGAATGGCTTCTGCTGACGGTCCGGAGGCCGGGCGAGGGCCCCCAAAAGACCGGAAATGGCGCAGGAACGCCCGTTGTGATTCTTGTCATGACTCGAGGGGGTCTGGGTTTTGAGTGCAGAGGGTCGATAGAGTCGGGGCGTTGACCTAAGGAACCCTGAATAAGGAACGAGGCCCCTTTCTCCCATAAGCTCAACCTCGATGTCCTGTGGAGAACCCCAGGAAAACGAGAGGCAAACTCTGAAACAATCCAGGAACACCGAGCCCCTCCCCAGCGAAAAGGGTTCCTTCGTCAGCGCCCCGCCTGTACTGGAGGAAGGGGCGGTGCGCTGGCCTTCGAGCCCGCATGCCAGCTGGTCCACGACCTCGGGCGCTGCCGCAGGGAGGCAGCTGGGGCGGCCGGCCCACCTCTGCCCGCTGCGCCGCCGCAGGCGGTTCGAGGCCTGGAGGTTCGAGGACTCGAGGTTCTCCGGGCGTTGGCTCGTCGGTTTTTCGGCGGTTTTCCACCCTCGGGGTGTCTTCCCGCGGCCTCGCCTCTCGCCGAGGGCGCTCCAGGAGTGGCCCGATCGCCCCGCGCACGGCCGCCGGAGGGCCGAGAGTGCCCGACAACCAAGAGGCGTCCTCCCGTCGCGGCAGGAACTCACGGCGGCAAATGTTTGGCTCTCTCCGGCCAGCGGGGGCCCTCGCCGGGCCCTGGGACCGTCAGAAACGACCCAGGACGAAGACCTGGCCATGGGGAAGGGGTGCAGGCCTCTGGGGAGCCAGGTTGTAGGCAGAATCCAGGCGGAGAATGTCTGGGTACGCGGGGGTCCATGGCGTGCCTGCAAGCCCTGTGAGCACGGCGTGCCTGCGATCGATGGGCCCGGGCCGCCCAAGGTGGGGCAACGAGGGCGAGCACAGGAGGAGCGCCCGTGTCCCAGAATTCCTGATGCAAGAAGTCATCTGGTGGGTGGTCTATCTGACGTCGGGCGCCCCGCAGCTCTGCGGGGGCGGCGGGGGCCGTCAGGGGACAACACATCTCACGGGGGGACCCGCTGGCAAGCCGACGGCTGATGCGATGCGCCTGCCGTCCCGCCTCGAAGCGGAGCAGCGACACGGGCACGACTCAGTCTGGGCTGATGCACCCGTCGGGCCAGACGAGGCAGTCCTGCTCCGGCCAGCAGGAGGACCCGATCGCTGTCTGTGCACGGCGGGCTCCTGCCTTGACGATGCGCAGCCTAGAGATGTCTGGACCTCTCCCCAGAACTCGCGGCGCGACACGCTGAGCAAGCGCTCCTGACCGTGGCAATCCATCGCTATTCTTCTCACGGAGATGTGATATAGAGGCCTCCTAGATGGCAGGCGAGGTCGGAGGATCGCGGCGCATCGCCAAGGCATCGCCAACGTCGGCGATGCATCGGCGTCATCAGCGTGCAGTAACGCTGGCATGGCCCAGCAGAGGGGGGGGGCCCTTCTTCGTCCTGCTCCTCCTCCTGCTGGCCTCCTGGCGGGCTCCAGCTGGCCTCCTCCCAAGGCTCCGGGGGCGGGTTTCGCCGAGGCCCCGCCGACGGAGAGTGCTCGACCCTGTGCTCCCGCAGCTCCATGGGCACGCCGGGCAGGAAGTAACGCCTTTGGGCGGTGCTTGGCCGCCGTCGTCGCTCTTCTGCTCCTCCTCCTCCTCCTCCTCCTCCTCCTCCTCCTCCTCCTCCTCCTCCTCCTCCTCCTCCTCCGCCTTCTCCCCCTCCTCCTCCTCCTCCTCCTCCTCCCTCCTCCTCCTCCGGCCCACCTCCCTCTGCCTCCTCCTCCTATTCCTTCTCCTCCTCCTCCTCCTCCTCCTCCTCCTCCTCCTCCAACTCCGACTCCTCCTCCTCCGACTCCTTCTTCCTCCTTCCTCTTCCCTATTCCTCCATCTCTGCCTCCTCCTCCTCCTGCTCCTCCTCCTCCTCCTCCTCCTCTCCTCCTCCTCCTCCCTCCCACCTTCCTCCGCCCTCCCCTCATGTTCTCTTGCCTCTTCCCCCTCCTCCTCCTTCTCTAGTCCTTCCCTCCTTCTTCGCTTCTTCATTCCTTCTCTCCTCTCTCCTCCTGCCTCCTCATTCCTCCTCCTCCTCCTCTGCGCCTCCTCCTCCTCCTCATCCCTCCTCCCTCTCCACCTCCCTCCTAT